TTAGCTGAAAGATATGTGAACTATATGTCCATAAAACTTTTAAAAATCCATGGGTATTATCAAACTTAATGGTAAATGACTAGATGTTTACCAGTTAAAAGGCAAGATCAGTTAAAAGGCAAGAATTATTATTCTCATGGTGTCTATTTAGCATTTTACTGCCAGTTCTAGCTAGGACAATTAAGTTGGAAAAAGAAAACAAATACATCTGGGTTGGAAAAAAAGAAAACGACCTCTATTTGCAGATTACACAATTTTTGTATATGGAAAGTCTTATGAAAGGCACCAAAATATTTAGGACTAGTAAATAAGTTCACCAAAATGCAAGTTGCAGGATAGACCATGAATATACAAAAATTAATTGCAGCCAACGAAAAAGGAGGGGGGAAGGAAAGGGAAAAAAAAGGGTAGTGGAGGAACAGGGCACTAACCCACCCAAGGGGAGGGTGTTGTTTATATCTCCACAGGGAAACGGGTCCAGGCTTCAACCTGGTGCTCCAAGATGTGAATACAACATGCCAGTGGAGAGGTCTGAGCGGCCAGCCCCAACCCCAACTATGTGGACAGCTGCCCCTACCCCCAGATGAATTCATTTCAGAGGACAGCACTGAAGCTGCAGCTCAGGGAGAGGGACATGTCTGATCAGAGCACATGGGAACAAATGAAGGGGGAGGAAGAGAGAGTGGAACACATTCTGGCCCACCAAGCCTTGATGACGAGATTCTCTCTCAGGGCAGCCAATCCACACAGAAGACCATATGGCCGGCCCCACTACGAGACACAACATCCCTTACTGAGCCCTAGCCCTACGGGGGACAACACTAGAGACACAGTGCGAGAATTGTGCTCGATCTGACCCCATCACACTGAGGCAAAACACTAAAGGGGTGCAACAGAACAGCAGGGGAACAGCAACGAAGTCCCCTGGGAATACCAAAACATAGACTTTGGGGCCAGGGCTTGGCACCCCATCAGACTTGACTGGAAAACACTCCTAAAGGTCACCACACAGACCTTGAACTATTTACAGGCTTTTCTTTTTTTGTCATTGTTTGTGTTGTTGTTTTGTTTTCTTTTGTTGCTTTGTTTTGCTCTGTCTTGTTTTGTGCATTTTATTGTCTCTGCAGGTCTGTCTATATAAGATAGACTGGATAAAAAATCTGGAGGAGAAAACAATGGGCCTGACAATTCTGGGGGACATGGGAGAGGAGGAGGTGGGGGAAAGGAAGTGGTGTTAACAAACCCAGGGACAAGGGAACAAATGATCCAAAATCAGTGGTGAGGAGGGTGTAAAAGGCCTGGTAGATCAAGGGCAATGTAACTGAGAAGAATTACTGAAACCCAAATGAAGGCTCAGCATGATGGTGGGACAAGAGGAAAGTAAAAGGAAATAGAGGAAAGA